TTGAATATCATAAGCTACAGTTTAAAGCATCAGCCACAATCTCTAAAGGCCTGAAGAGCGATATGGAAATTCTCACTACTATCTGAAACACGTCTTCTACATTTCCATCAACACAATATCAGACACCATCTGAGCTCATAAGCACGTTTGCCACATGTGAGACATGTGACTAACCACACACTCTAAAACTGTTCTCGCTCGGCTCCTTCAGAGAACTGACACTTCATACCAAACTGGACTGTTTTTTTTAGTCATGCAGTTTTGAGCACAGAGCAAAGTGAAGCACATGATTGTAGATCCTGACTGAAATCAGCACAAACACAAATAAACAGATACAGATTACAAAGCTGACAGCAACAGAAAATATCCACAAACTTCACTTCTGCTGCTACAAGAGAAGAGAGTCCAGTGAGTCAGTGATTGTTGGGGTCAGTAACTGAGAAGTGTCTGACTTCAGAGTAAACACTGTCTCCAGAGCGTCCACTCTTCATTCTCAGGCTTTTGGCTGCATAATTCAGCTCCACAGCAGCAGAGTCCTGTAGAGATGAATATGAAATATTAAAGGCTGAAGATTAGAGAACTCTATGGGAATTAAACAGTGCCAGTGTGAATGAGAGAACATGTAGTACCTGACTGGGTTTGTTCTCCACCACTGAATCATGATCTCTCACTATGACGGAAAAAAGAAAGATTATGCTGAGTGTGTTTACATGCATTTAAAAATCCAATAACTGCAGAAAAACTGAGTTTGTCAGTAATCTGATCAACATGTTTCTGATGTATATAACAGATTAAGCTACACTCCCTGCAGTTTCGAATGGCTTGAGCGCAGATCACAATCACACCGATCCCTAAAGCTGCTCCCAGATAGAACACAGTGGGATTCACAGGACCCCCTGCACATAAATGATCAAACCTCTGTCATATTTACTTTCTTATAAGTTCAAAACAAACACTGACTGATACATGTCATTGCATCGCCATGGCATTAATAACATTTATGTATTAAAATGACATTAAAGGAACAGAAATGAAAGTGGTCAGAGCTTTAGTTCAATCTATAAATGATGCTGAAATAAAAATATAGATGCAATTTCTTGTGTTGTACACCAAAATGCTGTTCACTGTAACTCCAATGATGTCCAATTTATGATGACATCCAAGTTAACGAATTCAGCTCGCATGCCTCTAGAATACTATCAGAAATGGAATAAATTTAGAGGTTATGATTTACCGTTATTGCATTATTGCTCAATGGCCAACAGCTTCAAAGCACCAAAAGTATACAGGTACACAACACAAAGCAGCCAAACAGGCTTACCCAATTGTACTGATGCTCCATTGCCAAAAATGATCATCCCACAAGCAGCCACAGTGCAGCAGTAAGTTCCAGTATGGTGGTGGTCGAGGATGTTCTTGGAGAAGTTGTACACAGAGCAGCTTGTAGACGAGCTGATCTCACACTGACGGCTGCTGCTGTTCTGGTGAATGTAAATGACTTCAGGAAAGGATTGTCCTGCAGCAGCTCTGAACCAGAGCACTCGGAGTTCTGCTGCTCTGATCTCGTGCACTGCAGAGTGACCGACTCAGTTTCCTGGAGAAACTGACCCCCGTACTGGAGTTTGAAGCACTGATATGTTAAACTGAGGTTGACCTGGTCAATACAAGTAGACATTATAAGAATTTTGTGAATATTGGCTTTTCAGTCACACATTAGGCTGTAAACTATTAAAGACTAACATTGTTTTCAAAATGCAGCAATATTGTAGCACTATAAATGGGGTATTGTGTTAATCAGTTGGCTTTTAATGGCTTCATAATATATTATCATACACATAAGCACAATGTAAACACTGGAAATACAATTAGGTCAATTCAAACATTTCGTATGAGTTTTCTATTGTTGTGAATTTGTAAAGTTCTATATGATTGTATATGCATATATATGTATATGTGTATATATACAAAACAGTTATTTTATCACTGACTATAATGTGCCACTAGAAAACGTAATAATGTTCCTGTCTCCTTTTCCACAGAAGTACATTCCTTCATCATCTTTAATAGTTTGTACAATATTCAGAGAAAAACGCTGGATTATTTTGAATCTGTGTGATGAAGTAGTCGGTTCTTTGGTAATTAGCTTTACTGTCACTTCCTGAGGTTCCTGTCCTGTTCTTTGTTTGTACCAAACCCAAATGTTTTGAGCAAACTTTTCCACAAATTTGCAGTGTAGAGTAACATTTTCACCAGACTCAGCTGAGACAAATGATGCCTCAGAAAGATCCACAGCTTGAGCAGAATCTATAAGACAGAATCAGATCAGAGCTCAACTGATAAAGAAAATAGCAGATGACATTTCAGCATAGTTACTGAACAAACCCCAAAATTAACCTTAACCTCATAAACTTACATATCATGTAAAGATGTCAAATCAGCATCCAAATCAGAGCCATTGTGTTAAAATGAAGCTGTTCTGATTAACAACAGCAGCACACTGTATCAGCTGGCTGGGCTCAGAAGATTAAGCTCATTGGCTGTCACAGGGTCTTTTTTTCTGTCTGCTCTTCTTTTCACTCATGTTTGGCCACAAGAAGTTCCTTGGCCTCTTATTAAAAAGCCTCTTAAAGCTCGAGCAGAAAGTTACTACATGAAACGGTAACAAATATGTACGTTGCATGATGAATGAAAAAGCCAGTAGAGTTTTGAGATGTTTTGGGCTGAAATGTATCTTTTTAAATATGTTCATGGTGAAGTTGTACACGCCAGGATCTAAGACATCTTTATAATGCATAATCAGTTATATTATCAAATATATAAGATATTGTGTTATTCCATTATTAGTTTTAAAAATAAGTGACTTTAAAATACTTTCTGTACTGAACATTAAGGCAGTGAAGTGCTGCCACTCTCCTGTGTTGATGTAAAAACTCTTTCTGCTGATTCTGTACATTCTGTAGTTTGTCTATACTCTTTTTGGAGATGCCAGAGATGCATTACAATAATCCAAACAAGAGAAAACAAACACATTAGTCAACTTATTAATATTGTGCCATGTGAGATGAAGTCCTGACCAAAATTTTTTACTTTAGTTAACAAATTCACATCAACCAGCCTGAAGGACTTTGTTCACATCTCAACAATTTAATTACTTATAAAGTTTGAAAAATAGGTGGAATTCAACAGAAATCAAACAGAAAAACAAGTTTAACTCCAATAATCTCACATATTCCCCCAAAATACATTGCCTGTGGTACTGGATGAGTAAAGAATACATTCAGCAATTAATTAAACCTCTAACCAGATATATAATTATATCCAGGATAATGAAATATGTATTTTAGAATGACCAAGTCAGAGTCCTTTATATCAGCGACAATGTTGCTGGAACTTATATGTCTGTGCTTATATGTAATATCGTCACTCAAGTCTGAGAGGAAAGAATTATGAAACCACAGTAGATACCCAGAGCACAGCCAATGCTCACACTGCCTCCTACTGGTAACAACAGGCTTTTTCACATTCTAATGGCAAACTAGAGGACTTAAAATAATAGTCCGCCTACAAGAACTTTAAAATGTCCGATTAAAAATAGGAAAAACAATATAAACACACCTGCAGCCACACTTTCAGAGATTCTCATCAATCAAACTTCTTTGATCTGAAGCAGGCCAGACAAGAAAGGATCCACAGAAATATTATTTTAACCATTTGTTTCAGTAAAAGTGTGACACTGTAAACTGTTGTGTTTCTTGGTTAATAAGATCCCTTTTATTTATTATCATGACTTTGATGATCAGAGTCCATATTTAAAAAGAGCTTTAAAATGTCTGATTTCATTCTGATTTCAAGTCCTTCTGTTTGGTGATTAATAGCATCTTTAATAAAGTTTCTCAGCTTTGACCACATAGTGAGTGAGTGAGTGAGTGAGATTTACATATATCTGCCTTATCAGCCCCGTCCATTAACACTGAAGTTATAAGGAGTGTTTCAGCCTGGACTGCTTTCTGTATGAGGCACAATACAGGGCAGCTAATTAGAATGGAGATAATTTACATATCTCAATTTTAAAAGCACAGCCTGTTTAATTCTAAGGGAAGAAGAGAGGTTGGAAAATACTCATGCAAAAATGAACTATGAGTGCTTTTAGTACATAAAACCATACATGTGTAATAAGTGGACTTCAGGGTAAAAGATACAATACAGGACAAATGTAGGATACAGGCCTTTTAATAAAGAAGAGAACAAGCAGGATGATAATCATGAAGTTTGCCGGCCCTGGAGGAGGTTAGTCATGCACAAGGCCAGCTGTAGCCTTTTGATGGCACTAAGCAAATGTCACCTCCCACCCCACCCCCCATAATGATGTACTGTGAAATCACAGAGTTACTAATTAACAAAAATTATAACGTTGTTATCATCTTAATGAAAGAACTAAATGTTGAATTTACCTTTAAAGGACAATAACAAAGAAAATCATGCACAATAATATTTTTTTGACATTAGAAACTGACTCTAATATTCAGGAGGAATATGTGACCAGTATGTATTAGAAAATGAACTAAATTGCTGACAAATTGTAAACAAATACAGAAGTAAATTACATTTCTGAAGTATTTCAGTAAAAGTCAAATTAAAAGAAGCAACAGCTTTAATTTAGGTGAATATTATGTAGTAATAAAAATATGGAATAATAAATCATTAATGTTTCAGCTCTTCCCTACACAGACATTTATCCTAATGACTGACCATCTCATAAAGACCCTCCTCTCACTGATAGTTTTGTATTGCTAGGCACAATCACTGAAAACGTTTTATGAGAGCAGATGTTCTATTTATGCTGAAGTTGAGAAACACAAACACCTGACATGGGGTTTTATTTTCAGTCAGTTTCTTTGTTATCAGAGTACCTGACTCCCCCTCCTCCACCACACTGAATGTGCAGATAAAGATGCACTGCAGGTAGAACTTCTCTAAGCTTTGCTTCTATTAAAAACAAGTAAAAGAAAATAAATGAGTTACAATTAATAAGTTACAGTTAATGAGTTACTCTGTGGTCATTAACAGAGGAGCCCCTCACTGCAGAATACAGGGTGTCTTCTTGTAGCTGTTCTCGTTTCCCTCTTCCTCTTTTAGTTTTCTTTTCATGGAAATTTAAGGCTGCATAATTCAGCTCCTCAGCTTCATCATCCTGCAGGAACAGACATGAGAGTTTAAACAAGAGCTCTTATATATCATTGATTTTGTACATGTAATGTCAGGAATAATGGCACTAAAGCAGTACCTGTTTGGTCGTCTTCTCTTTGACTGAGTCTTTAAGCTTTTCTGCTGAATTACAAATACAAGCAGGTCAGTATCTTTATCTTTATCGTGTTTGCTGCATTTTCACACATTCACTACATTCAAAAGTTTTAAATCACTGTTTTTAATAACACAGAATCAGTTTTGTTTGCACACACGTGTATAAAATGATTGTAATATGTTAGTTCAAGAAATAAGAAATGTGTCCAGAATGATGAATGTAGCTGTTAATTAATGCAAAATGACTGAAAAAACTGTATAACATAAAAAATGAAATTGTTAATTATAAAATGAATATTCAGAATTCATATTGTAAAAAAAAAGATCAAAGCTCATGTCAGATAACCTGACCAAAAATATCAATGTATGTAAATAATTACTAATTACTAATTATACATTATTTATTATTAAATAATGTCTCGTTCACTTAATTTTTCATGCTGACAAAAATATCTTAAAGTGTTTTGTGAATAAACTGTAATATTAAATCCTCACTGTTTAAGCTATTATGACGTAGAACACTTTTTTGGGCACTTTTCCAAATTTTTGAACTTGTGCACAAACATGCATGCATTTTTATTGTAACAGGTATTCATTTATTTATTTACTTACTTAATTGCTAATTAATTTAGAGTTAAGGTTCTAAATAATGTCCCTGGTAATGTTGTCTCCTCAGTTCTTGGTATTAAGCAGGTAAGTATGCAATATGATCCAAAGTGCTATGTAATAATTGTGGTTAACATGATGGTGACTTCCAAGATCGTTTCTTTAATTCACTCTAAAAATCCAGCTATTTACTGGATGACTAGATAATTACTATGGGTAAGAATGTGATAAGTACTATGATTAATTTACACCAACATTTCTAGCCATTAAACTGAAAAATTATGTAGTGAAGCATATAATAAGTGGATGATAATGGTAATCTCACATTTAAACAGGAAAATAAATCAGAAAAATCAGAAAAAATGTAAATAATAAATACCCAGTAAAACCACTGTAAGAAATACTGGTTTATTTAAAATTTATTTAAAATTTCAGTTTCATTTTTAGGTTACAGTCAAGTACATAATACATAATACTGTTTACCCATAAAATACATGCAACTCAGAGAAATGTCTGATTTACTTTACTCCTCAAACATGACACATTACAGTTAAACGGAGTGTTTCTCTTTACCACCTTATTATACGCCAAATAAATATCTAATTATGAGTATTTTACTGTGTCATTTCTCTGCATAGTTATGCATTACGGTGTATTTTAGTCATTATTTTACCCAAAATAGTTACACAGCACTGTGGAGTTTGTAGATCACAATAACACAGTTAATATCTACAAGCTGAAACTGACCATGTTGCCTAAAATAAATACCTAGAACTTTGCAGTTTGTACCACATATTTAAATTGCCACCTGTGCAGTGAACTTAGATGACTGTAAAAGAAAATGTTTACTAGTTATCGAGTTGGATGCAGCAGAATTTCTCATATAATGGATCACTTTGATAAAAAAAATGAGGATGTTGTTTTGTGACTGTAGTTAAAACTCACCACTGCAGTGTTCACAGTTTCTCGTTTTACAGTTTAAAATGGTTTGGACAGAGATCACAACCACACACACTCCTAAAGCTGCTCCCAGACAGATCACTACAGGATCCAGAGGCCGCCCTGAAGAACATGCATGATCAAAATTATAGACTAATTCAATCAACATCAAATATTAATAAAAAAAATTCAATGAATAATCAAGCACACTTGGGCCGTGTATGCATGTCAAAGCAGGTTCCTCACATCTCCTTCATGATAGCTTTTTAAGTGGAGCTATTTTCACCTTATTTTTCATTGTTTTGTTTTTTTTTGTTTGTTTGTTTGTTTTGCTTTGTTTTGTTTTGTTTTGTTTTTTCATTGTTTAGTTTAGTATTTTATATTTTTATTGTTTTGTTTAGTATTTTATATATTTTTTTCCAGTATGTTACACTCAGTAAAAATAAATATTTAAAATTCTGCACTAAAATTTACAGAGAACGTCCATATTAAATGTGTTCTCTGTAGAGGATGTATTCATGTATTATTTGGTGTTCAAACTTTTGCAAATGACTGTTTTTACAAAGTGCCTGAAGTTTGCAAAATGACAATTAACAAACACTTTAGCCTCTCTCACTTATGATTGTTGTTAACATGGCAAAGATGACCATTTAGCAGTCCTTTAATATTTAATTCTATAATATTAAGGGAAAAAGGACAGTTATGGAGAAAGAATTTTCCACAGGTGGCAGTAATTACTGCACATAGACAAAAATATTGTTGTATCTCAATGCTTTTCCTTAAAGAAAATACATTTATAGTGAATAATTTTACTGAAAACTCACTCAGTTCTACTGTTGTTCCATTTCCAACAATGATCTTCCCACAAGCAGCCACAGCGCAGTAGTAAGTTCCAATATGGTGGTGGTCGAGGATGTTCTTGGAGAAGTTGTACACAGAGCTGTGTGTAGAAGAGCTGATCTCACACTGACGGCTGCTGCTGTTCTGATGAGTGTAAATGATTTCAGGAAAGGATTGTCCTGCAGCAGCTCTGAACCAGAGCACTCGGAGTTCTGCTGCTCTGATCTCAGAGAGGGCTGTGCACTGCAGAGTGACTGACTTTCCTGGAGAAACTGACCCCTGTACTGGAGTTTGGAGCACTGAGATGTTTAACTCAGGATAACCTGTTTAATAATATAAAATTTAAAAGATATTGGTTCAAGTGTGAAAATAAGCTACCTAGCAGTGATATAAAAATCACGAAGTTACATTATTGTCACATAACTTGCTAGTGTGTAGCATAAAAACCTGTGACTGACAATACTTTGAAAAGATACAAACACAATCAACAATCTATTCTCTGTATTTACAGTCATTATGTTAGAACTTCAACATCATTGACTACAGCAATGTTTCCCAACCCTGATCCTGGAGTCTCACTGCTCTTCTACAGTTTCACTGCTCTAACACACCTTATGCTACTAATCAGCTCGTTAACAAGCGCTAACTGAGTGGAAGTGAACTTGTTAAAATGTGCAGGACAGTGACCTCCAGGACCAAAGCTGGGAAACACTGCACTACAGAGGTCAAATGTCTGAGGTCAAATTAATTCAGAAATATACTCTTCATTACTGCAGTGCTGAGATTTATTCCGCCAGAAACATTTTGAGGTCAACTGATGTAATTTGACATCATTAGCTAATATTGATCTGTATGTTTACATCAAATTATGTAAGAAAAGTTACTAAAAGTAAATGATTATGAGGTGATGTGGAGAGAACATTTGCTATTGAGAAGAAAAAACAGATTTTATTTTCTTTTAGAGTGGAAATATAAAGAATATAAAGTTAGACTTTAGGGAGAAGATGCAGAAAAGAAGTGAAAGGCCCCCGTTTAGCATATTGCCCAAAAATATAACTTAGATTTTTATCATTAAGACACAAAGTTGTTCACTGTTCACTGTTAGATGCTAGTTAGTGACTATTAGCTAAAATTAGACATGTTTATGTGAGTTTTGAAGCTCAGTTATATTATCTGATCTGTTCTATGATGGTTAATAATCATTTACCACTTAAAACTGCTGTTAAATGCCATTGCATTGTTTCTATGACAATAATAATAATAATAATAATGATAATAATAATAATAATAATAATAATAATAATAATAATGATTTTCATCAGTCTTTGATCATAATTTATTAAAATAAAAATGCAAAGAGTAGAAATATTGGTATAAACTGGTTTGCATGCAAAAGTTTGGGTCCGCTGGTCAAATTCCATTTTGTTGATTTTCTAAATGAAAATAAGTTACACATCTACAGAGAACACACTTAAATATGTCAGTTTTCTGCTAATTTTATTTATTCATAATTTTTGCTGAGTTCAACATAATGGACATTTGACCAGGTTGCCCAACACAAGGCAGTAAACGATGCAGTAAAATCTAAAGGATACATTTATGAAAGATTCACTAGGGGGCTTCTTACCCCAGAGTATGAGTAAAAAGTGATCTTTTCCGGATTTTTCTATTTTATTCTATAAAAACAGAACTGTCTGCTATTCCAGTTCAGTTCCTCTAACTGTGTGCAGGTTTATTAATAATCTAACTGTACATGATACATTTATGTACTGATACAGTTTAGTTCCACAGTAAATGGACCTCGTTGTTAAAGGGGACTTTCATCCCATTTTCTCCCACTGTTGTTAAAGGTTTTAAGTTACTGTTAAAAACTGTTTACATTAACAGATGATGATGAAAATATGACGATTACCTGTCACAGCTAAGGAAGTTCCTGTGGAAAACTCAATAATATTCCCTTGAGATTTACCGCAGAAGTACATTCCTTCATCGTCTTCAGTAGCACGTTTAATATTCAGAGAAAAGCTGCTCTTGTTTGCCTTCAGTTCCATTGTTGATTTGAATTCTGGATAAATGTAGACCTTTCCTAACACTGTTCCCACCGGCTGAAGAGTCTGTCCCAGTTTATATTTATACCAAATCAGTCGCTCTGCACTCATGTGTTCCTCAAATGTGCAGTGAAGTGTAGCAGCTTCACCAACTTTAACTGATAAAAATGGCTTCTGATGAAGATCTACAGCTCGACTGGGACCTATAAAAATTAGTTTAGGTCAGATTTAACTCACTTAAGAGAAACAAGGAAAAAATACTTTTAAGAAAAACCTGTAAAACCTACCTATTCTGTAAAGACTGGCAATAAGAATCCAGATGGGAGTTATCTTCATAGAATACATTGGATTATTTGAAGTGAAATGTTTAAAAGGAAGTCAGAAGGTCTTTTCTGCTGTGTGGCAGAAGATAATTTGAACACCAGAAGTTCACTGGGGGCCTCTTTATGAGCTCACTGTGTCATCAATAGAGAAACAGCCAATGAGCACCTTTATTCAGGAAGTGTCACCCCACAAAGAAAGAACTTGATCTGAAGTCAAAATACACTTGCATTTACTATTTTATAAAAAAAAATCAGGAATACTTTATATTCTAGGTAATAGATCAGTTTCATTGGGTCTTTCACTGTAGTTAATGTGTTAATAATGCGTTACCACAATACATTTTAATGCCACTAATTTTCTTAACACTGTCAACACATTTGACTCTTTAAAGCATCTCTAGTTCCAGATTAAATGAGAGAGAGGAAGAAAGAAAGACAGAAAGAGAGAGAGAGAGAGAGAGAGAGAGAGAGAGAGAGAGAGGGGGAGATAGGCCTACAATGGCAGAGGAGTTGGAACATCTAGTCACTTTTGCTCCCACTGTTCATCAGTGATGAAAATTTGGAACTGTGCTCCATTTTTTCATATTTACTCTGTTTTTTGTGATTTTATGTTCAATTTAATTTCATGTATCTGGTGATGGAGAGTGTCTTCATGCACTTCAGCGTGTTAAAGAATGAGTAATGTGGTTTGGCACTGCTTAACCTTTATATCACACTACAAGATCCTTCAGTCAACAGTCATACAAGTCTAGAATAATCCTAAAATATTCTGGAAATATTATGGAATAAATTATTAGTTTATATCAGCCTATATATTGTAGGCTTGACCACGCAGGCGGCTAAGTGCACAGGCTCACAGTAGATGTGCGCCCTCCTGATAACTGACTATTTGTGTTGTTTACTGTTGTTGTTTGTTAGTTTAGATTATGAGTACATGTTTTATGTGTTGTTCTGTGTTGGGGAGTGAGTTTAGTTGGGGGTATTTTGTGTGTCACAGTGAAGCCTGTGGCTGGTGGTGACCTCAGAGTTCAGTGTTCTATATGTGTCTTTCTGCTGGTGGGTTTAATAAAGAGCACTTCTCTCAGTGGAGTCATGGCCTCAACACAGATGCTACAAGTGTTGCAAGACTCTCACAATCTCAGTAGTTTCTTGTCAAAAACATGCCTGTGCTGTCAGACATTAGGTGCCTTCATCTACTGCTTCCTCTCTCTGTTTTGAAAGATCATTTTCTGCTGCAGCTTTTAAACTCTAACCACAGAATGAGTATGAGGTTCCACACTTTTGTATTTACCAGTTTTCAGCACACAGAACCACTGTTTCAATAGAAGCTTCTGAAAGAAAAGCAGTTAGAAATTAAGTTTAATAATAATAGTATAACACAGTGCAGAGCACTCATCACACTCATCACTATTTTGTTTTTGATCTTCCTTTTCGAGAAATGCAAAGCAGATTATTACACTGTTAATGAACTGCTAAGTGTGTTTAATACTACAAAGAAGTGATATGAGAACTTAATAGTACTTATGACTTAGTCCTATTAATAATCCTGGAAGGGAAATAAAAACAAGTAAAGAAAAGTTTAAGCCATTACTAGTCTTGTCGTAATCATGATTTTGTAGTATAATTAGTAGTAAAATTATCACTTTCTAGTGGGGACACAAAGAAGCAACTGATTAATAACAAGAAACCAGTAGATTAATTAACAGATAATTAATGAGACTATTTCAAAAGTACTGTCTAGTTATCATGTTACCTCGTTACATGAGTAAACATACCTATCAGTTAATTATCAGTGTAATAAGCAGCAGTTAGTTCATTAGTTAATGAGCAAGTGATGTATGAATGTATATCAAATGAAACTTAACAGCATCGTCACTTACTAATTACAAAGAATTTAATCAGTAACTAAGTAATAACTAATGCCTAATGAACAGTTAACTAAATGTAAATATTGAATATTTATTTGTAGCATATAATTATCAAATAATTAAATGTAGTGTAACTTTGTCCAATATGTTAAACCAATATTTGAAAACGAACATTTGAATAAAAATGTCATATTTAAGTGTGTTAACTTACCTTCACTTAGAAAATCAATAAAATGCATTATTTGCCCAGGTGTGTTCTAAGTTTTGCATATGACTGTATTAGAAAGCTACCAAAATATGTTGACAAAAAATAAGCAAGTGGCAATACAAGGGGTCCAAGCATCCTATCTGCTTAATAAGGTGTAATGTGGCAGATACTCCAACCTAGAACAACGCACAATTTGATCATTTTATACAGGGAGGCAAAGGTAGTTTTAGGAATCTTACTCAATGAACCTCATTGCTATAGTGTAGAGTGCCGACTGAGACAAAAGATTGAACCCCAGTCTACAGTGTAGAAGACAGACATGTTACCCACTACACTATACCAACCACACATGTCAGACTGGGGCTTTTTTGCAGACATAGCATAAAGCATAGTCTATCATAGTTCATCAAAAACCCTTTATATGTAATGATCATTGATAAAGAGCCTTCAAATAAGATAATTTTCTAATGTTGTAGAGATTGACCTTTTGACCTTTGCATACTAAGCTGAAGACTTTGAATGAATAAGTCAAAGTGTCAGACAAACAGTTCAATTTCTAAGTTAATTAGCAAAAATGAAAAACAAAAACCTGCATCACATGAGACCAGTGAGACTGTTTTAATAATTTTAAGTCTTGTTGTGCACTCACCGTTTCAGGCCAAAATGGATTACATTTTACATGCTGCATCTGAATAACAATTCATATAAGTGCTGTAAATTTTCAGATGATAAGAACAACTGTTTTTGAATAATTATTTACCTCCAAATGTCACACAATAGAAATGAAACTTGAATATAACTTAAAGTAGTCAGTGTACAGCTTGTATAGCAGTTTAGATTTACTGTCCTCTGAAAATAACTCCACACACAGCCATTAATGTCTAAATAGCTGGCAACACAAGTGAGTACACCTCACAGTGAACATGTTCAAATTGTGCCCAATTGTGTCGCTGTCCCTCCCTGGTGTCATGTGACTCTTTAGAGTTACAAGGTTCCAGGTGTGAATGGGGAGCAGGGCTGTTAAATTTGGTGTTTTGGGTACAGTTCGCTCATACTGGCCACTGGATATTCAACATGGCACCTCATGGCAAAGAACTCTCTGAGGATGTAAGAAATAGAATTGTTGCTCCTCAAAGATGGCCTAGGCTAAAAGAAGATTGCTAACACCCTAAAACTGAGCTATAGCATGGTGGCCAAGGTCATACAGTGGTTTTCCAGGACAGACTCCACTCGGAACAGGCCTCACCAAGGTCGACCAAAGAAGTTGAGTCCACGTGTTCAGCGTCATATCCAGAGGTTGGCTCCAAAAAATAGATGCATGAGTGCTGCCAGCATTGCTGCAGAGGTCAGCCTGTCAGTGCTCAGACCATACGCCACACAATGCATCAACTCAGTCTGCATGGGCATCATCCCAGAAGGAAGCCTCTTCTGAAGCTATTGCACAAGAAAGCCCGCAGTACCAAGACAACTGTCTCTTGCCTACAGTCAAGCATGGTGGTGGTAACATCATGGTCTGGGGCTGCATGAGTGCTGCTGGCAATGGGGAGCTGCGGTTCATTGAGGGAAACATGAATTCCAACATGCGCTGTGACATTCTGAAGCAGAGCATGATCCCCTCCCTTTGGACACTGCGCCGCATTGCAGTTTTCCAACTCGATAATGACCCAAAACACACCTCCAAGATGACAACTGCCTTCCTGAAGGTAAAGGTGAAGGACTCCAGACCTAAACCCAATTGAGCACCTGTGGGGCATCCTCAAGCGGAAGGAGGAGGAGCGCAAGGTGTCTAACATCCACCAGCTCCATGATGTCATCATTGAGGAGTTGAAGAGGATTCCAGTAGCAACCTGTGCAGCTCTGGTGAATTTGAGCACAATTTGAACATGTTCACTGTGAGGTGTACTCACTTGTGTTGCCAGCTATTTAGACATTAATGGCTGCGTGTGGAGTTATTTTCAGAGGACAGTAAATCTAAACTGCTATACAAGCTGTACACTGACTACTTTAAGTTTCATTTCTATAGTGTTGTCCCATGAAAAGATATAATAAAATATTTGCAGAAATGTGAGGGGTGTACTCACTTTTGTGAGATACTGTATATATGTAAATCAGTAGCACCCAGAATTATATCTGTATGCCTCATAGTGTAGGACGTACACTATATTGCCAAAAGTATTCACTCACCCATCCAACTCATTGAATTTAGGGGTTCCAATCACTTCCAGGGCCACGGGTGTATACAACCAAGCACCTAGGCATGCAGATTGCTTCTACAAACATTTGTGAAAGAATGGGTCGCTCTCAGGAGCTCAGTGAATTCCAGCGTGGTACCGTGATAGGATGCCACCTGTGCAACAAGTCCAGTCATGAAATTTCCTCGCTACTAAATATTCCACAGTCAACTGTCAGTGGTATTATAACAAAGTGGAAGTGATTGGCAATGACAACAACTCAGCCATGTAGTGGTAGGCCACATAAAATGACAGAGCGGGGTCAGGGGCGCTGAGGCGCATAGTGCGCAGAGGTCGCCAACTTTCTGCAGTCAATCGCTACAGACCTCCAAACTTCATGTGGCCTTCAGATTAGCTCAAGAACAGCATAGAGAGCTTCATGGAATGGGTTTCCATGTAAGAGCAGCTGCATCCAAGCCTTACATCACCAAGCGCAATGCAAAGCGTCGAATGCAGTGGTGTAAAGGGCCACCACTGGACTCTAGAGCAGTGGAGATGTGTTCTCTGGAGTGACGAATCACGCTTCTCCATCTGGCAATCCAAAGGATGAGTCTGGGTTTGGCGGTTGCCAGGAGAACGGTACTTGTCTGACTGCATTGTGCCAAGTGTAAAGTTTGGTGGAGGGGAGACACCATACCAAGAGATTTTGGACAATTTCATGCTCCTGACTTGGGGGATGGCCCCTTCCTGTTCCAACATGACTGCGCACCAGTGCACAAAGCAAGGTCCATAAAGACATGGATGAGCGAGTTTGGTGTGGAAGAATTTGACTGTCCTGACCTCAACCTGATAGAACACCTTTGGGATGTATTAGAGCGGAGACTGCGAGGCCGGCCTTCTCGTCCAACATCAGTGTCTGACCTCACAAATGCGCCTCTGGAAGAATGGTCAAAAATTCCCATAAACACACTCCTAAACCTTGTGGAAAGCCTTCCCAGAAGAGTTGAAGCTATTATAGCTGCAAAGCGTGGGCTGAAATCATATTAAACCCTATGGATTAAGAATGGGATGTCACTCAAGTCCATATGTGTGTGAAAGCAGACAAGCGAATACTTTGGGCAATATAGTGTATGTTAAACACTAAGCTGTAGTGCCCTCTTCAGGCCAATCAGGCTCATCTTATGTACCTCAGTAGCAGCAATGAGTATTACTTATTGACTGAGTTTCATGTGTGTCTGGCTTATGGTTTAGTTTGTACGACTCATTGGTGAAAAAAAGTAATTTATGAGAATCTGAGCCAAAAACAATAAGGATCCAGTGAAGGAAAGCAAGTTTTAATTTTAGAGCATATTATGTGCCATAATGACACATTTTAAAATAATAATAATAATAATAATAATAATAATAATAATAATAATATGTAACACAAAGAAGTTAATAATTAATTCATTTCATCATTTATTATATAATTCAGTACAGTTTTTCTCACACAAACATTTAGGCCATTGACTGAATTATCTCATAAAGACCCTCCTCTCTCTGACAGTTTAACACTGGTTGGCACAATTACTCACTTTTCAGATCAGAAACACAACATGGTGTTTAATTGTCAGTCAGTTCGGTACCTGATTCGTCCTCCTCCACTGCACTGAAAGTGCAGATGATACAAATAATAAAGACAGAAATTAACGAGTTACTCTGCGGTCATTAACAGAGGAGGTCTTCACTGCAGAATACAGAGTGTCTTCTTGTGGCTGTTCTCGTTTCCCTCTTCCTCTTTTAGGTTTCCTTTCATGGAAATTTAAGGCTGCATAATTCAGCTCCTTAGTATCTTCATCATCCTGCAGTAACAGACATGAGAGTTTAAATAAGAGCTCTTATATATCTGTATTTTTAAGCATATCATAAAAGTAATAATGGCACTAATGTAGTACCTGTTTGGTCGTCTTCACTTTGACTGAGTCTTTAAGTTTCTCTGCTGAATTACAAACACAAGCAGGTCAGCATCTTTATTATGAGACACAGATTTTTGAGTTGTTTTTGATACAATCACTGCAATTCAAAAGTTTGTAGTCATGGTTTTTTAAAAAGATGCCATCAATTTGGCTGCAGACCGATAAAAAATTAAACCTAACTCACAGGTTTCAGATAATAGGAAGCTGTGAATGAAAGTTGTGTTCAGAGTGATGAAGGAAGCTCTATTGTTACATGTACTTATTTACTTGTTTAATGTTTACTATCACTTTTTAATGTCCTCTAAGATCTAGGTACTGAGATAAAAATATCAAAGTACTAGGTAATTATTAGGTACTAGGTAATACTAGGTACTAAGTTATAATAGGTATGGATAAGCGTCATGACTAAACTACAATGGAATGCATAACAGGTTCTAGCCATAACCATTTTACAGCATACTACCTCATTATTCCAAAGGTTTGTCCTATTATTAGATATTGTACTAACTCTGTTATCTGCTGAATATCTAGACCTTCTTAAGGAAGTGCAGTGTAATTTAGTCTGGTCACTTCATTTTATCAAAAATAGCACTATGGTATTTGTACCACACGCATACTCAGTTTATCCCTCAAACTTAGAGGACTGTAAATGAGAATTTTGAAACTGGAAAAACCTTGAAACTGAGAATTTTGTGACTGAAATGAAAACTTACCACTGCAGTGTTCACAGTTTCTCTGTCTACGGTTTAAAATGGTTTGGACAGAGATCACAACCACACACACTCCTAAAGCTGCTCCCAGACAGATCACTACAGGATCCACAGGCTGTGCTGAAAATATCCATAATCCAAATTATTGTCACCTTCAATTAATATCCTAAAAATGCTGGATCAAATTCACAGTACTGTAAATTAAATGTTGCTTACTCTCTATGCTTGTGAGACTCAATAGAACAAGGAAAATATATTATTTTGATGTGATGCTGCTGCTTATAGTTTTTTTTTTTTCCTTCTGAAAAAGATGCATCAGTTATTGCCAACTCTGAACTGAGCAGCTTTCTCAGGAACATAGTTATCCTCTGTGTTTGTGAGATATCAAAACATGGAGCAAGAGTTCTGATTTATTTATTTATTTATTTATTTATTTTTAAAACATGACAGTTTTCCTCAAAGTTTTCCTTCTTAAAAAATAAGGGACATCCACACCAGCATAAAAGCTGTGTCTGGCATTTTTATCCGATCAGTATCAGCTACAATAAAACTGATGCAGTTTTGATGTTTTGGTATATGTAAAGGACTCTTTCAGACATTATCCACAATCCGCAGCAGTGAAATGCACTTTATGAAGTGGTCAAAGTGGCCTAAGTGTGTGGAGACTATATATATATATATATATATATATATATGAAATGAAACATGCAATATCTATCATATCTTGCCACTTCTGGGAGAAAACCACTGTTAAACTCATTTATATTGATGTCAAGATGCAGAAAGCAAAAACAGCTTTTAGCATTAGCAGCATTTTTAAGGCTGAGAAAGAGGAGCAATATAGGTCATTTTAGAAAAGGAGTGATTTTACTGCAGCATTTTAAAGTGATAGCCAAATCACCAGTTCAGTTATTAAAATAGATGATACTATTAACTGCACTATAAAACAAATTAAATTATGTATCACACTGTACATCTACAAATTCCGTTATTTTACTGCAGCATTTAAAATCAAATAATGACCTAGCATATCTTGCCTAAATTGGATTGGTATTAACTTTGAAACATTTGGTTTGTGCACAGCATGTATAATCTACAAAAATACAAATATCAGATTGGACTCTAGACTGTTTCTGCTTCTTTTACTTAAGGTAGAAGAGAACAGATTTATTCATGTGATCAGTCATGGATTTGTATGAGTCTGTTAATTAATATCCACCAAATAAGATCCACCAAATCTTCTAATACCTCATCTTTATATTACAATAAAAACTTGGCTCCATTCAATGTATAATGACATTTAACAGGCTATTTCCAGGTTTTTGCACTATTGGTTTAATTAAAGATAAGGACAATTGTTTAAATGTAATCTTTGAAGGATATTTCAGCCATGAGAACTGAGTAGAACTTTATATCAGGAACATGGTGAAGGTAAGTCTTCCTGTGGGCTAGCTGATCTATTACTGCAGAACTGAAATGCTTTTGTTCTCTAGCACCTTTTGACCAAGTTTCTCTAGAGACTTCAGTAACTAAAACACACAGACAATAAGACTTATTGCATCCTCATTTAAATGAGTGTATATTAAGGAATTTTGCTTAACACTTACCCAGTTCTACTGCTGTTCCATTCCCAAAAATGATCTTCCCACAAGCAGCCACAGCGCAGTAGTAAGTTCCAGTATGGTTGTGGTCGAGGATGTTCTTGGAGAAGTTGTACACACAGCTGTGTGTAGAAGAGCTGATCTCACACTGACGGCTGCTGCTGTTCTGATGAGTGTAAATGATTTCAGGAAAGGATTGTCCTGCAGCAGCTCTGAACCAGAGCACTCGGAGTTCTGCTGCTCTGATCTCAGACAGGACCGTGCACTGCAGAGTGACTGACTTTCCTGGAGAAACTGACCCCCATACTGGAGTTTGGAGCACTGATACATTTAACTTTGGGTGACCTATTTAATGATATAAACAGTGTCAGAACTTGGTTAGTGTAGGTTGGGTTTCCCACACAGGGATCAAGCTTAGCTTTGAATTAAATCTTCCTTTCAGTGGAGAATCCCCAATCAGAATGCTATGTAGTCCAGGACTAGGCTCAGTCTCTTTCTGGAAAAACAACTCTTAAAGTACCTGTAACTCACATGCAGTCACACTGTACTTTACTAGTGTGTAATAACTAGTAGTGTAATAATCTGTGGCTGTGACTGACAATATTTTGAAAAGATTCAAAAACAATCTTCTATATTTATAGTCAATATCTTAGAACTTTAAACATAAAGATGACTAGAGCAGTGCTTCCCAACCCTGATCCCAGAGTCCCACTGCTCTGCAAGTGTTAGGGTTTTTCTGCTCCTAAACACAACTGATCCCACTGACCGGCTCATTAACAAGCCCTAACTGAGTTAAAGTTGGTGTGCTTAAGCAGAGAAAGCATTAAAATATGAAGGGCATTAGACCAGATTCATGAAAACCTTCTTAAAAAAAGCTTAACAAGAAGTTCATGAGAATGTTCTTAAACACAGGTCTTGTTAAAAAAAAAATATTTTAGCTGTTCTTCACTACTATTTTAAGGAATTCTTAATTATTTTCTTAATAAAATCTTTATTGTTTTCTGAAAGCTGTTTACCATGTTGTCAATTGACATCATGTTATATTTTACAGATTACCAGAAATTACACCATAAATCCATTAACCAGTTATTTAGTTTAGATCAGCATCTAAAGACAATTTTGTGATTTCAGCCCCAGGATTGGGAAACACTGAACTAGAGAGCTTTCATAATAAATAGTTCTAGTACCTTAGATTTGTAAATTGCCCTTAAAAGCAGTTCTTTAACTGTTAATAACAAATGAAAATGAAAAGATGGTGATTACCTCTCACAGCTAAGAAAGTTCCTGTGGAAAATGTAATCATATTCAGTTGAGATACGCCGCAGAAGTACGTTCCTTCATCGTCTTTAGTGGTGTGTTGAATAGTCAGAGAAATGCTGCTCTTGTTTACCTCCAGTTTTATTCCTGATTGTTTGAACTCATCTGAAACCATGTGATCTTTATTTGTTAAAATTATTCCCACCTGCTGAAGAGTCTGTCCCACTTTCTGCTTATACCAAACCATTCGCTCGTTACTCGTTCGTTCATCAAACGTGCAGTAAAGTTTAACAGCTTCACCCAGATTAGCTGATAAAAATGATGGCTTCTGCTGAAGATCAGCAGCTTCAACAAGACCTAAAAATTAGATTAAGGCAGATTTAACTCACATAAGAGAAAGAAATAAATGTAGATTTTTTAGAAATGTAGAATAAATAACATATACAAAAAGAAACTTACCTGTTTTGTAAAGACTGGCAATAAGAATCCAGAGGGGAGTTATTATCATAGAAATCATGGTTGTTATTTGAATTGTTTCAAACAGAATGTTTGAAAGAAGTCAGAAGGTCCTTTGTGACTGCCTCACAGAAGATAATTTGGCCACCAGAAGTTCTCTGGGCCTCTTTATAAGCTAACAGTGTCATCAATAGTGAAACAGCCAATCAGCAACTTTATTCAGGAAGTGTCACCTCACAGTAAAGGAACTTGAGCTAAAGTTCAAATACACTTGTATTTACATATATTATGCCTGCAAATATGGTTCATGTTTCTACTTTTAAATTAACACCATATTTTCTGCCAGTAACACAATATTCTAGGGACTCTAACAGCTATTACTGTAGTATGAGTGAGATTTTTGTGTGTCATTGTGTATCAATATTTAAACTGTACATTCTTAAAAATAAATGCGTCAAAATGGGCTTTATGGATCAATGCTGCAGAAAAAACATGTTTGCTTCTTTAAAGAGCCTTTCAGTGGGCGGTTCTGTTTTACTAAATAATATATGTGAAGATTCTTAATGGTCTAAGAGCCGTCACATATTCAAAGTTTCTGTAAAAATGATAAGTTTTTCTGAGAATTATATATCCAACGGCCAAATCATTTAAGATGTTTTATTTTTGTAAAAAAAACATGAATGAATGACAACTTTTAAAATAAACGTTTGCTAGACCTCCCCTCTATTAGATTGTAAAAGAAATGAAAGCTTTTAGTTCTAACAGGGAGACTCCAATGCTAAGTGTGTCAGTACTCTGACCAGTCACTGGCCCCCACCTGTCTTTAAAAGGACTTGACTAACGCACCTCATTTGCTGCTTTCAGGTGCCATCATTTGGACCTTCCCTCCTTCCTGCCACCACCACATGTTTAGCCCCTGTCCAGTTGCCCAGGAAGTAGCCTCCACCCCTACCATCTCTACACAGCAGGATCCGCGAGGGTCCTGATGCTCCAAGACCTGGGCTAACAACAGGGCCTACACTGAAGAATTTCCCAGTATCTGTGAAATCCTATGAGGGATTTAAGTTTTTTCTTCGTTCATGTTTGTCTTTTGAGTCTCTCTGGTAGAAATGTAGTTCTTTGCTCTATCTGGCGATTGAGAGTGTCCTCAAGAGCTCTTCTCCATGTTACAGAAGGAGGTCTATGGTTTGGCTCTGCTGCACGTTGAAGTTATGTAACTCAGGCTGGAATCCATTATTTAATTTAACTTGTGTATAGTTGCAACACCTACCCAAATAAGCACCTTTTATAGTGCCTTCCCTTGATGCCTTTTACATCCCAACCATAGGCTCAGGCCTAGGAGGAGGGAGGGACAGTAAAAAAGGATGAAAGAGGATAATAAAGGGATGCAGAGACCAGTACGATACAAATAAATCTGCTGAAGTTTATTATACAGATGAACAAATCAAACATACAAACAATTTAAGCTACAAACAAAGAAAAACAACATTTTTATAGTAAAGTTGTACTGGCAGGGGTCATAACAAACAGTACCAAAGAAAAGAAATAAACAAATTATTCTAAGCTGACAGTTAAACAGCAACAATACCTGGCCAAAAATATTAAAAATGACTGTAGCTGCTACTCTATGCTAAGATAACAAAAACATACAGGGAGTGGCACCTGCATCTAATCTAGTGTGCTTAGACTAGATGACATACCCACAGGTGTAAATGTAGGTGCATGCACAGTCTAATCTGTCCTCCCTCCCAAGAGAAAAGCACCAGTAGTGTCAGTACAACCAGACAGACAATCACAGACCAACAACAAAGGATCTAATGTCACTGTATAAGTAACAGGAAGAGACACAGCTAACAAAGGCTAACAGGGCCATTGAGAGATCTGAAGCTAACAGGGGCTAAATCTACCAAGGCTAAAGCTAGCAGTGGCTAAAGAGCTAAGAATATCAGAAATCAATCAAATGAGCCCAGATCTAAGATTTGTGTCAAATGATGCCCAGGACTGGCAACAAACTCTGCACTGCTTTCAAAGTCCAAGCTCCGCCTCTTTGGGCTCAGGTCTGCAAGCTGAATGGCCATATGACATCCATGAGGCAATTGTGATTGACACACCCAGCAGCCTATGAAGGAAAGAGACAGGAAGAGACAAAAGAACAGGAGAAGAGCAACCAAGAGGGGAGAGAAAGCAACACATACATGCACAGACACTGACATGAAAAGATGTTTAAAATGACTTTAGATCAAGGCGATATTTTATTCATTGGATAACATTTTTAATGTTCAGTGAAAAACAATGCAATTCACTGCCTCTGCTCTAACCAGCACACCTGCATCAAAACCATTTCGACTACAAAGAGGAACCAGACAAAGATGTTCTATATCTCCATTACTGTTTGTACTTTTTGGCTGCTTCCATTAGACGGTGGAAAAATCTCAGGTGCCCTGTCTAAATTATATCTCACAAACTCAGTTTTTATGTTGATGACAATTTACTATACATCCCTGATCCTTCATTGTCCCCTCATCAGTCTAATCAGTAGCTATAGTACGGTGTGTGGCTATAAAATGACAACATTGTTATAAATACAACATAGTAAGTAACACCCTAACCACTTTGGTGGCAGTGAAATACTCAATCACATCTTTCTATTTTTAATCACACCCCTCATTCTCACGTTTGTAATCAACAACAACTTTTCATTTTTACATCTTAGAGTCAGGGAAGAGTAGCCAGCCTGGGACAGTTATTCATTAAAGGTCTCATTGTTGAATTACACTACAAGACCTTATACAGGCCTAGAATAATCCTTGACACTTAGAAGAATCCAGAAACATTCTGGAATTATTATGTAACATTTTAATAGTTTATACCAGCCTGCATGTGCTGCATTACTGTCACAGTCTCAGTAGCTGCTGGTCGAAGGACACATCTGTGATGTCACAGGACACGTCTCTGATGTCAGACATTAGGTGCTTTGATCTCCTGCTTCCTCTCTGTTTCTTTTGAAAAATCTGCTGCAGTGTTTAGACTCTAACCACAGAATGAGTGCGGGGGTCCACACTCGTCATGAACATCTGTGACCATCTCTTTTCAGTCATGTTCATTGGAAACCTTTGAAAGAAAAGTTTAACCCTTGTGTGGTGTTGATGTTTTTGTTACCACCACACTATTATTTTTAAATCCATACAGCCATAACAATTTATGTAAAAATGCCAGATGTTTAAAATAATACAAATAGCCAGCATAGCGTTCTCCTTTAGCAGGTTTAGTCAGTCAGCAGCCTGTCCAAGTGGTCCACCCTCACACACACACACACATATATAATCACATACACACACAGACCGACAGACACACTAACAGCAGACCATGTAGGAGGAGAACAGAGTGAAGGACACAGCACCTCCACACTTGTATTCCCCACAGGTTCACCCCAACACCACATGCATAATATAAATGTGTAGGGGGTGAACAGTGTGAAGGCACTGAAAATGTGTTATTTTATATGTTCTTCACAGAAAATGAGCAAAAACCAAGGGATCTGAGGTTGAAATAATAATACATTGCATCATTTTTTCTTCTGGTAAACATTGAAAATGGGTCCCAAAGACCTGAATACCACACATGGGTTCTTTGTTCTTTCGAGAACTTTTACATTATGTGGAGATTCTTTAAAATGTCAAAGTGGTCTTAATATTCACACATCTAACTTGCAAAAAGTGTTCTCCAAATATCTTAGGATTATGTACTTGACATATACAGTAGAACAGGTTATCATAAATATGACTTTGTAGGTAGCCTCCTGGTGAGATCTTATTCAAGAAACTTAGCAACCTGCCAAAATATATTTCTTAGCTAAAGCTAATTCTGGTCACTACAGCAGCTTGTTTGAGGGATGCACTCTTTGGGTAGTTGTACAAAGCTGGGACACCAGATATCTTTGTGAAACTTTCCCCTGACAACTTAATGTGTCCATTAATGACATTTTCTATAATGTTTTTATTAGAATTTATTTAATTTTTTAAAATAATTTATTTAAAAAGTTTATTTTAAACTCATTAACAAAGCATTCTTTTAAAATGGTCTTCATAAATCCAGCCTTTCAGATAAATAGAGGGCACATTTAGGCCCAATCCCATTTCACCCCTCGCCCCTACCACTTAGCCCTTAGCCGTCCGTTTTGCCCATTCACATCTAGGGTAAGGGTGTCCCAATTTTTGTTGAGACAGAGGGGTAGGGCGAAGTGTTAGGGCTACATAAGGGCTTTTCAGAGGCACAGTCCAAACAGAGTGTTATGAGAAAAAAAGAAAAACCAGCAAGATGGCTGCGTGAGTGACCAAAGAAACAGACAAATCTGAGTATTTTCTCTGTTAAAAAATTAAGATAACCATTTTATTTTCTTAGTTTAATGTCATTTCAATGTATTACAGTCGTTTCTTCATAACAAACACAAAACGATAAAAGCATGCTAATGTCTCGGTAGCTAGCTAGCTAACTTTCTCATTCCACCTTAAATAGTCCCGCAGTTCTGATGCCTGAAGTGCCAGAATGTCACTGCTGCTCCATTTAAGATGGAACAGGAAAATTTGAACAAGAAGCTGGTGAATATCTGACTTCAGCTTCCTATCACCAAAGAATTAGCGGTGGGCAACAATAAATAATTGTCTTATACCCCTTCTTTGAAAACATATGATGCCCTAAATGTAACTAAATCCCGGCAGCAAGGAGCTGAACTTTTCAATTCTCTGCTATCACTGAAGATGGGCAGGGTTGCCTGCAGAGCAGCGCTGGCAGCTGTTAATGAAGCAATGTTTTATTTGAGGGTCCCATTTCGTAGTGATTTCAACCACGACCCCTTGTAATTTGGTTAGTATGACACTCGAAAACAAGGGGTAGGGGTAAAAAGAAGAAATGGGATTGGGCCTTAGTGTCAGTGAATATCTGTTTGTGGGTGACATTTATATTTTTATAATAATTTAACATCAGACGTGTTAATTTATTTTTTGTCATTATTTTATTTATATTACAGAGCACATTTTACTGGGCTATTGTACAATTATGCAAAGATTGTGAAAAATAAAATTTGTTACATTATCTGTTAATGTAACACTAATACTAAAGCACTAGCATGTGCAGCAGCACAGAATGTACCTGCTTAAGAAATGAGGTTCTCTGTGTGCTGCTGTGTTTTCTGTCACCTGTTAAAAGGATCATGAAGCTGCAAGTTGTTGGATGCAGTTTTTGAACAAGTACAGAAATAAGCTGACATGCATTTAACACAGAATTCATTCAGAGCATAAACAGATTAGTCTGATATTGGAACAAGCTGGGATGCCCTGTGTCGGAGTGAAGAGGTTGGCACTGGACAGCCGTTGCGACGTTTAACATCTGTTTGCTACTTCTGGGGGCAAATGGAGTTACCCCTTCATGTGCCTGGCAGAAAACGGAGATCACTTCCAGCATCGCATGTAATACAATTGATTACACATACGTCAAGGTATGTTGCGTATTTTTTGGTTCAGATTGCTTCATCCTAACGGGAGTTACAGCAGAATATTCGGGGCCTCTTTTGAGTGAATCTCCCTGTATTTATATATATGAGTATCAAAAAGAGACAAAGATTGAAGAACATTTTTGATTGCTTATGAATTACAAAGGTTAAACTGGAGCTCAGCTGAAACACAGGATGTGTCACTAAAATGAAAGTATCCCTCACAATTTTATCCTTATACAACAGAAGGGAGCTAAAGAGTTTAATGGAGGTCAGTAACTGAGGAGTATCTGACTTCAGAGTAAACACTGTGTCCAGAACGTCCACTCTTCATTCTCAGCCTTTTAGCAACATAAATCAGCTCCACAGCAGAAGAGTCCTGTAGAGATGGACATGGAAATGTTAAAGGGTAAAGGTTAGAGAACTCTATCTGAAATACAAGAGTGTCAGTTACATCATTACACATCATTTGAAAGCATGAGAGAACACATGTAGTACCTGACTGGTTGGGTTCTCCACCACTGAGCCGTGTTGAAGCCTCACTATGGTTGAAAAAAGAAAAAAATACAGTGTAATATTTAGATCAGAGAACATTTTCTCTGTGCAAGTCATCAGTTTTCTCATTGCTGTCAGAACAAATTCTTGTATCTCCAAAACTGTAACTTTTCAGAAGGAAAAACATTCTTACCTTATAATAGAAGTTAAAGTAAATTTTTTATAAGTAATGTTGGAACATTTTTATTGGTTTATTCATCATGAAATTTTAATCTAATGTAAAGAGTAAATAGACTTTATGATACTGTAATAAAGGGCAAAATTGAGATATGAAGTTTTGTCCTGACAGCGGCAATATATAAATATATACAATGCAGAGTGACTTTTTTACATCACATTGAAAATTCAGCTCAAATTTACTGTACACTCACCACTGCTGTAATCAGACTTTGTTCTCTTGCAAATGAAAATAGCCATAGCAGAAAACACAACCACACACACTCCCAAAGCTGCTCCTAAAAGCATCACTATGGGATCCACAGACCTGCCTGAAAGATATAAATTAATAAATAATTAATATTATATACTTATAATTCATAAAAGTGAAGCCAAACTTCATTTTTAAGTACAACAAATCACATTATTTCACTATCAGTATTATTTCCTCGACATAGTAATCTCACCACTCATTACTTTACATTTAAGTTACTCTCTAAAACACAAAGAAATCTGTACCAATTAGACAGTGAAAGGAATGACAAACAAGAGCCCTTTAAACACTTAAATTTAGGAAGAATAGCCACAGTCACTATCACTGCTTCTTCTCTGAACAAGACAAAGTGAGCCATGCTTGGATTAACTGGATTAAAGCTAATACTAAATCAGTTGGTAAAAGTTTGTAGACCAGATGCTGCTAATGAGTGTAAGTGTATGAGCTGCTTCTGCACCAGCTGTGTTTTGTATTGTTGATTTTGTGGATGATGTCAGTGGTATAAAACAAAAGCACAGTGTGAAAAATCTTTAAATGAAATATGGAAAAGTTAAAGCATTTGTTTACACCACTGGACATGTAATAAAAAGTGCAGTCACTTTTGTACTGGTTTTCATTTGCACAGATTATTAGTGTTAATTTATTTTCTATGTATATTCTTATTATTGGTTTTAGAGGTTATATAGTAATTTTGGTTAGTTAACCACAAAACAAGCATATCTATTCAGAGATTTTTAAACCACTATGCTCAAATTTGCACACACTCCTACTAGACATGAGTATGTACAGATACGCCAAATTAAACTAATGAACATGTTATGTTTATGATCAGATTTTACTGTACACAGCTGTGATGAATGAGGCCAAATTCACTGAATTCAGGATAATGAGAGTATTCTTTTGGAAATGTCTGCTTTTGTCCTCCTTAGTCAGTGTACAGCTTCACTCTGCACTGATCACAATCCAAGTTGAACAGTGAAGCGGTAAAGGTAGTGAACACGCACAAAATATGTGAAAGAGCAGATAATTTATAGCTGCAAATATGCAAGGTTTTTAACCTTATTAAGTCAGTAAATGTAGTATAATCAAATGTGAGTTTACACAAAGTTCTCAAAAAGACTTACTCAGTTCTACTGAGGTTCCATTCCCAAATATGATCTTCCCACAAGCAGCCACAGCGCAGTAGTAAGTTCCAGTATGGTTGTGGTCGAGGATGTTCTTGGAGAAGTTGTACACACAGCTGTGTGTAGAAGAGCTGATCTCACACTGACGGCTGCTGCTGTTCTGATGAGTGTAAATGATTTCAGGAAACGATTGTCCTGCAGCAACTCTGAACCAGAGCACTCGGAGTTCTGCTGCTCTGATCTCAGACAGGACCGTGCACTGCAGAGTGACTGACTTTCCTGGAGAAACTGACCCCCGTACTGGAGTTTGGAGCACTGATACATTTAACTTTGGGTGACCTATTTAATGATATAAACAGTGTCAGAACTTGGTTAGTGTAGGTTGGGTTTCCCACACAGGGATCAAGCTTAGCCTTGAATTAAATCTTCCTTTCAGTGGAGAATCCCCAATCAGAATGCTATGTAGTCCAGGACTAGGCTCAGTCTCTTCCTGGAAAAACAACTCTTAAAGTACCTGTAACTCACATGCAGTCACACTGTACTTTACTAGTGTGTAATAACTAGTAGTGTAATAATCTGTGGCTGTGACTGACAATATTTTGAAAAGATTCAAAAACAATCTTCTATATTTATAGTCAATATCTTAGAACTTTAAACATAAAGATGACTAGAGCAGTGCTTCCCAACCCTGATCCCAGAGTCCCACTGCTCTGCAAGTGTTAGGGTTTTTCTGCTCCTAAACACAACTGATCCCACTGACCGGCTCATTAACAAGCCCTAACTGAGTTAAAGTTGGTGTGCTTAAGCAGAGAAAGCATTAAAATATGAAGGGCATTAGACCAGATTCATGAAAACCTTCTTAAACAAAGCTTAACAAGAAGTTCATGAGAATGTTCTTAAACACAGGTCTTGTTTAAAAAAAAAATACTTTAGCTATTTTCTTAATAAAATCTTCATTTTTTTTTTGAAAGCTGTTTGCCGTGTAGTCAATTGACATCATGTTATATTTTACAGATTACCAGAAATTACACCATAATCCATTAACCAGTTATTTAGTTTAGATCAGCATCTAAAGACAATTTTGTGATTTCAGCCTCAGGATTGGGAAACACTGAACTAGAGAGCTTTCATAATAAATAGTTCTAGTACCTTAGATTTGTAAATTGCCCTTAAAAGCAGTTCTTTAACTGTTAATAACAAATGAAAATGAAAAGATGGTGATTACCTCTCACAGCTAAGAAAGTTCCTGTGGAAAATGTAATCATATTCAGTTGAGATACGCCGCAGAAGTACGTTCCTTCATCGTCTTTAGTGGTGTGTTGAATAGTCAGAGAAATGCTGCTCTTGTTTACCTCCAGTTTTATTCCTGATTGTTTGAACTCATCTGAAACCATGTGATCTTTATTTGTTAAAATTATTCCCACCTGCTGAAGAGTCTGTCCCACTTTCTGCTTATACCAAACCATTCGCTCGTTACTCGTTCGTTCATCAAACGTGCAGTAAAGTTTAACAGCTTCACCCAGATTAGCTGATAAAAATGATGGCTTCTGCTGAAGATCAGCAGCTTCAACAAGACCTAAAAATTAGATTAAGGCAGATTTAACTCACATAAGAGAAAGAAATAAATGTAGATTTTTTAGAAATGTAGAATAAATAACATATACAAAAAGAAACTTACCTGTTTTGTAAAGACTGGCAATAAGAATCCAGAGGGGAGTTATTATCATAGAAATCATGGTTGTTATTTGAATTGTTTCAAACAGAATGTTTGAAAGAAGTCAGAAGGTCCTTTCTGACTGCCTCGCAGAAGATAATTTGGCCACCAGAAGTTCTCTGGGCCTCTTTATAAGCTAACAGTGTCATCAATAGTGAAACAGCCAATCAGCAACTTTATTCAGGAAGTGTCACCTCACAGTAAAGGAACTTGAGCTAAAGTTCAAATACACTTGTATTTACATATATTAAGCCTGCAAATATGGTTCATGTTTCTACTTTTAAATTAACACCATATTTTCTGCCAGTAACACAATGTTCTAGGGACTCTAACAGCTATTATTGTAGTATGAGTGAGATTTTTGTGTGTCATTGTGTATCAATATTTAAACTGTACGTTCTTAAAAATAAATGGGTCAAAATGCTGCAGAAAAAACATGTTGTTTGCTTCTTTAAAGAGCCTTTCAGTGGGCGGTTCTGTTTTACTAAATAATATATGTGAATGTGAAGATTTTCAATGGTCTAAGTGCCGTCACATATTCAAAGTTTCTGTAAAAATGATAAGTTTTTCTGAGAATTATATATCCAACGGCCAAATCATTTAAGATGTTTTATTTTTGTAAAAAAAACATGAATGAATGACAACTGTTAAAATAAACATTTTTGCTAGACCTCCCCTCTATTAGATTGTAAAAGAAATAAAAGCTTTTAGTTCTAACAGGTAGACTCCAATGCTAAGTGTGTCAGTACTCTGACCAGTCACTGGCCTGTCTTTAAAAGGACTTGACTAATGCAACTCATTTGCTGCTTTCAGGTGCCATCATTTGGACATTCCCTCCTTCCTGCCACCACCACCTGTTTGGCCCCCATCCAGTTGCCCAGGGAGTAGGCTCCGCCCCTGCCATCTCTATACAGCAGGATCCGCGAGGGTCCTGATGCTCCAAGACCTGGGCTAACAACAGGGCCTACACTGAAGAATTTCAATTCCCAGTATCTGTGAAATCCTATCAGGGATTTAAGTTTTTCTTCCTTCATGTTTGTCTTTTGAGTCTCTCTGGTAGAAATGTAGTTCTTTGCTGTATCTGGCGATTGAGAGTGTCCTCAAGAGCTCTTCTCCATGTTACAGAAGGAGGTCTATGGTTTGGCTCTGCTGCACGTTGAAGTTATGTAACTCAGGCTGGAATCCATTATTTAATTTAACTTGTGTATAGTTGCAACACCTACACAAATAAATCACCTTTATAGTGCCTTCCCTTGATGCCTTTTACATCCCAACCATAGGCTTAGGTCTAGGAGGAGGGAGGGACAGTAAAAAAGGATGAAAGACGATAATAAAGGGGTGCAGAGACCAGTACAATACAAATAAATCTGCTGAAGTTTATTATACAGATGAACAAATCAAACATACAAACAATTTAAGCTATAAACAAAGAAAAACAACATTTTTATAGTAAAGTTGTACTGGCAGGGGGTACAACAGACAAAGAAAAGAAAATAAACACATTATTCTAAGCTGACAGTTAAACCGCTACCTTACCTAGCCAAAAATATTAAAAATGACTGTAGCTGCTACTCTATGCTAAGATACAACAAAAACATACAGGGAGTGCACCTGCATCTAATCTAGTGTGCTTAGACAATGACATACCCATCTAATCTGTCCTCCCTCCCAAGAGAAAAGCACCAGTAGTGTCAGTACAACCAGTCAGTACAAACAGACCAACAACAAAAGATCTAAAGTCACTGTATAAATAACAGGAAGAGACACAGCTAACAAAGGCTAACAGGGCCATTGAGAGATCTGATGCAAACAGGGGCTAAATCTAGCAAGGCTAAAGCTAGCAGTGGCTGAAGAGCTAAGAATATCAGAAATCAATCAAATGAGCCCAGATCTAAGATTTGTGTCAAATGATGCCCAGGACTGGCAACAAACTCTGTGCACTGCTTTCAAAGTCCAAGCTCCACCTCTTTGGGCTCAGGTCTGCAAGCTGATTGGCCATATGACATCCATGAGGTAATTGTGATTGACACACCCAGCAGCCTATGAAGGAAAGAGACAGCCAAAAGAACAGGAGAAGAGCAACCAAGAGGGGAGAGAAAACAACACACACCTGCACAGACACTGACATGAAAAGATGTTTAAAATGACTTTAGATCAAGGTGATATTTTATTCACTGGATAACATTTTTAATGTTCAGTGAAAAACAATGCAATTCACTGCCTCTGCTCTAACCAGCACACCTGCATCAAAACCATTTCGACTACAAAGAGGAACCAGACAAAGATGTTCTATATCTCCATTACTGTTTGTACTTTTTGGCTGCTTCCATTAGACGGTGGAAAAATCTCAGGTGCCCTGTCTAAATTATATCTCACAAACTCAGTTTTTATGTTGACGACAATTTACCATACATCCCTGATCCTTCATTGTCCCCTCATCAGTCTAATCAGTAGCTATAGTACAGTGTCTGGCTATAAAATGACAACATTGTTATAAATACAACATAGTAAATACCACCATAACCACTTTGGTGGAAGTGAAATACTCAATTACAGTCTTTCTATTTTTAATCACACCCCTTTTTGGGACAGTCTCACGTTTGTAATCAACAACAACTTTTCATTTTTACATCTTAGAGTCAGGGAAGAGTAGCCAGCCTGGGACAGTTATTCATTAAAGGGCTCATTGTTGAATTACACTACAAGACCTTATACAGGTCTAGAATAATCCTTGACACTTAGAAGAATCCAGAAACATTCTGGAATCATTATGTAACATTTTAATAGTTTATACCAGCCTGCATGTGCTGCATTACTGTCACAGTCTCAGTAGCTGCTGGTCGAAAGACACATCTGTGATGTCAAAGGACACGTCTCTGATGTCAGACATTAGGTGCTTCCATCTCCTGCTTCCTCTCTGTGTCTTTTGAAAAATCTGCTGCAGTGTTTAGACTCTAACCACAGAATGAGTGCGGGGGTCCACACTCGTCATGAACATCTGTGACCATCTCTTTTCAGTCATGTTCATTGGAAACCTTTGAAAGAAAAGCTTAACACTTGTGTGGTGTTGATGAGTTTGTTACCACCACACTATTATATTTAAATCAATACAGCCATAACAATTTATGTAAAAATATCAGATGTTTAAAATAATACAAGTAGACAGCATAGCGTTCTCCTTTAGCAGGTTTAGTCAGTCAGCAGCCTGTCCATGTTGTCCACCCTCACACACACACACACACACACACACACACACACACATATATAATCACATACACACACAGACAGACAGACACACTAACAGCAGACCATGTAGGAGGAGAACAGAGTGAAGGACACAGCACCTCCACACTTGTATTCCCCACAGGTTCACCCCAACACCACATGCATAATATAAATGTGTAGGGGGTGAACAGTGTGAAGACACTGAAAAGGTGTTATTTTATATGTTCTTCACAGAAAATGAGCAAAAACCAAGGGATCTGAGGTTATTTGTTCTTTGTTCTTTCTAGAACTTTTACATTATGTGGAGATTCTTTAAAATGTCAAAGTGGTCTTAATATTCACACATCTAACTTGCAAAAAATGTTCTCCAAATATCTTAGGATTATGTACTTGACATATACAGTAGAACAGGTTATCATAAATATGACTTTGTAGGTCGCCTCCTGGTGAGATCTTATTCAAGAAACTTAGCAACCTCCCAAAATATATTTCTTAGCTAAAGCTAATTCTGCTCACTACAGCTGCTTGTTTGAGGGATGCACTCTTTGGGCAGTTGTACAAAGCTGGGACACCAGATATCTTTGTGGAACTTTCCCCTGACAACTTAATGTGTCCATTAATGACATTTTCTATAATGTTTTTATTAGAATTTATTTATTATTTTAAACTCATTAACAAAGCACTCTTTCAAAATGGTCTTCATAAATCCAGCCTTTCAGATAAACAGAGGGCACATTTAGACCCAATCCCATTTCACCCCTTGCCCCTATCACTTAGCCCTTAGCCCTCTGTTTTGTACGTTCACATCTAGGGTAAGGGTGTCCCAATTTTTGTTGAGATAGAGGGGTAGGGCGAAGTGTTAGGGCTACATGGCCCTCCAAATGGAGGTTTTTCAGAGGCTCACTCCAAACAGAGCGTTATGAGAAAAAAAGAAAAACCAGCAAGATGGCTGCGTGAGTGACCAAAGAAACAGACAAATGTGAGAATTTTCTCTGTTAAAAAATTAAGATATCCATCGTATTTTCTTAGTTTAATGTCATTTCAATGTATTACAGTCGTTTCTTCATAACAAACACAAACGATAAAAGCATGCTAATGTCTCGGTAGCTAGCTAGCTAACTTTCCCATTCCACCTTAAAGAGTCCCGCAGTTCTGACGCCTGAAGCGCCAGAATGTCACTGCTGCTCCATTTAAGATGGAACAGGAAAATTTGAACAAGAAGCTGGTGAATATCTGACTTCAGCTTCCTATCACCAAAGAATTAGCGGTGGGCAACAATAAATAATTGTCTTATACCCCTTCGTTGAAAGCATATGATGTCCTAAATGTAACTATATCCCAGCGGCAAGGAGCTGAACTTTTCCTTCTCTGCTATTACTGAAGGTTGCCTGCAGAGCAGCACTGGTAGCTGTTAATGAAGCAATGTTTTTGTTTTTTTATTTGAGGGTACCATTTCTTAGTGATTTCAACCACGACCCCTTGTAACCTGGTTAGTATGACACTCGAAAACAAGGGGTAGGGGTAAAAAGAAGAAATGGGATTGGGCCTTAGTGTCAGTGAATATCTGTTTGTGGGTGACATTTACATTTTTATTATAATTTAACATCAGACGTGTTCATTTATTTGTTGTCATTGTTTTATTTATATTACAGAGCACATTTTACTGGGCTATTGCACAATTTTGCAAAGATTGTGAAAAATAAAATTTGTTACATTATCTGTTAATGTAACACTAATACTAAAGCACTAGCATGTGCAGCAGCACAGAATGTACCTGCTTAAGAAATGAGGTTCTCTGTGTGCTGCTGTGTTTTCTGTCACCTGTTAAAAGGATCATGAAGCTGCAAGTTGTT